AGTAATTAGTATCTTTTTATCAGTTTTTAGTTTTATGATTGTAATCACGTTAATGATATGTATTTTATCATTTCTTTAATAAAGACATTATTATTATTATTATTATATTATTATTATAAAGTACCCATTGCTATCCTTTACTACAGTATATGTGTTATGTGCATCCTGTACCTGAACACGTGCTTCAGAGAGCCCCAGTTTCTTGGCCAAAGCTTCTCTCGTCAGAGCATCAGGATAATGAGTTTGATCAAAAAGCCTTTCTAGTTCCCTCAACTGTTCTCCTGTGAAGTTCTTTCTGTTCCTCGGAGCGCGGGTTCGGGGTGAACATTTTGACATGTCCTTACCTTGACAACGAGAAAGAAACGTACAAGAAAGTAGGTCAATTGCAGTGTTCCAGGGCTTTCCAAAAATTTCATTGACGCGCAGAATGATCGCTAATCGCGGAAACAATTCATTCAAACATTTGAAACGTCTCTTTGCGTGGAATGTGCTCTCAATGAATTCTGAATAATTATTCGAAAAGGCCTCAATAGATACAGAGTCATAAGTTCAAGTCGGTAAATATGACGATGAAAAGTTGATATAACCGTCGATGAATTGTGCTATTAGGGGTTAAGAATCTCCAAATGATCGCTGATTTTTGCTCGTAGGCCATCTGTCAGTACGATTAATTGAACGTCAAAAATATTTCCGTGGCCTTGGGCCATCACGCCTCGGTCGCCGAGGTTCACAGTATACAGCCTCCAAGTCTCTGCCCGTGGCAAAAGATCGGAACAATGTACGACAATACTTGAATCAGGCTCAATCAGGCTCACGGAACTCCTAATCTTCGTTAAGACATGCATCACGAGATAAATGGATTTTCAGGGTTTGACTATAGTCACGCAGGCTGACGACCTCACACATACATGACATTGAATTCCATACTATTTTCATAATAAAAAAGCGAATAAAATTGATTCTACAAACTTGTTAAAAAAAATCAAAGCTTTTGCATTCTTATCCTAACAGAGGCGATCAGTAAAAAAGTATTTATTTTAAAACTGTGGCTACGATTTTAAAACAATACAGGACTGAACTAAGTTTTTTCTTGATAGACTGCGCTTGTCTTATTCAACTTTGTCTGAAATCAAACGAAGAATTACGTCCTCTAGCTCTCGTAAAGAAAGATATATTAATAAATAGAGCGGTAACTTGTGTTAACAACCATTAATTCATGCAGTATGCTTGCTGATAGGTATCGCTTACTAATTGATGTTTAAGTAAAAGTTCTTCAAAATGACAACTTCTTACTCTATTGAGTTAAATATTTTCCGGTCCGCGAGTGAGATATATACATTATATCTAGACTAACGTATCGCAGTAATTGAACTTTTAGGGGATCTTTACACTGAGCACCATTCTCGTAGAATACGCAAAATCTAAAAAAAATCTTTGAGTTGGCGGCGGAGTTTTCAACAAGCGTAAATATTAGCATAAAATGATTATTGTCCACAATTTTACTTTATTCTCAATAATGGATAATATGGTATTTGAGTTACACCTTAAATTCCTGAAGGAGAAAATCTGGTAGGAATTTTCCAACCCTTAGATTCAGTGCAGTTATAAATGCCTTAAAATACGAAGTTAATTTGGAAAACTGAATGGAAAAGTAAATCAATCGTCCACCAATATTTTACTGTTCAATTAAATTTTCGAAAGCTTGGAATCCGGCAGTCATTGGACTCTATGCCGGTCTGGAGCGTTTATATGAATGTAGAAAACATGTCCGCTCAAGAAGACTTCAGGGGTTAGTTTACTAAATATATGTACCACTTAAATAAATACTCTCTAAATGTTAATAACAATTAGATTTCATTTCTATTGAAAAGGTCTCCATTAGCCTAAGTACATCAGTCAATCCAGTTTTGCAAATTAATATGTCTAATTAATAGCAGATTTGATCAAATGAACACTCGCTATAGCTGATTTATACCTTAATTGCCAATCGACATGACTTGCTTGCTTTCGCTATGAGTACGAAGATAATACTGGAAGTGCAGTAATATTCAAAAAAAAAAACTTTAGTCTTATTAAACTTGAAAATGAAGTGAACAACTTTCAAGTATAAGTTTTAATATAAAATAGATATATTGTTTTCTATCCTGATGGAAACTTAGTACGATTTTAAAGGGAAGTTTCTTTTTTCTTTTCTCTGGTTTTCTTATTGATAGGCCTTGCTCTGAAAAGTTATGTGAAATATTTTGAAATCAGCGATATAAATGCAAGGCCTTTTGATGTTCTTTTTACATTTTATACTACTCCTGCTTGAATCTAGAAAACTACGAATAACTGATGGACAAGTAAATAAGTCAACCATGGAATTGAATGGGAATGATGTGTTTGGACATAGACAGCATCAAAAGCAGTTTTCCATACGCAAACAGCTATATACCATATACTTTCTAACTCACTTCCTTTCCCAGGCGCCCAGTATACCGCATGTTATTCACTCTCAGTCATTTTGTCCGGTTTTGTTTACTTAAAGCTCAGTTTTACTTTTGATTAAGGATATCATTAAAAGTCATTTTCAAGTTGAAAAAATGATTTATATTAAATCCACAAGCTCTGACAAACTAAACATGGTGCTTAATTGAAGGATAATGAACGATTATTTTCGCGCTTACTATCTAATCATTTTTAAATTGTAATTCCGTCAGTATAGTCTAAATATGCGAGACATTTTCATCATTATATTATTGTTGTACAAACATTTGGACTAATTTTGATGAAGTAAACCAGTCTTTCATAAGCTAATAGGTTAAAATTTACAATGTCATAATCATTGAAGTAGAGGATTGTAAATGTCGACCCAGTTAGCAGCTATAGCGCGACGGAATTGAACTAAATTTTCATCTTCTTTCTTTACTGATCATTTCCTTAGAAACTTAAAGCAAGGAGGACATAAAATATCAATTGGGGATGAAATAAGTTTTACCTTGATTGAATTCTGTAGAGTGTATTCTAGTTTCATCTTGACGAACACTCTTAGCAGCGCCATTATCACTAATACCCAGAATGCCTTCGATGCTGAAGGGAAGAGTATTTATCTGGTTTGTGTTTGAGCTGGAATCTTTTTTCTCTGGATTTATACGAGAATTGTTTGGTGGCACTTTCTTGAGTTCGTTGTTTTCTCTGGAGGTGTTTTCGTCGAATTTCGAAACAAACGCTGCCAGACCTTCCATTTTGTGGTGCCCCAAGTACACGGGAAGTCAGTGACTGACTGGCTGGCTGGTCGTCGGTTACCAACAGATCAGTATATCATACATCAACACACTTGATCTCAATAATAGGTGAATATGTCAAGAATACCAGTTGACTTCTGAACACTCGTCGAAATGGACCAAATGAAGCCAATTAGTGCTACAGTCCCGCCACGAGAACTAGAACCACACTCCAAAACTGAGACAATGACAATAGAGAGCGTCAGAACAAATACCACTTGGCATTTATCCTATACAGTTCTATATTAAACTCCAGTCATTGACTAATCAAATTGATTATCTTTTTATTGCTAACATTTTATTAAAATAAACGAATACCTCCCGCGCTTTTGATCCTTTGTCGTGACATTGTTTGCACGTCGCAGGATAACAGCATCTTGTTTGAGGCTTGATTAATGAGTTAATGTCATGCTGAGCTGATGGATAATTGGAAAGCAAAACATGTCGTGTCTTACTATAAGAGTCTCTCTACTCAAGCCGGTGTTCCCGCGGAGGAATTATGCGCTCCTTAATTAATTTTGTGCGTCTTATGTCAATGACACTGTAAGTATGACTATATATCAGTCGATTAATCAACGCGATCATAATCATTTAAGACCAAAAGATAAGTAGATTTTATAACTTTTCAGAAAAAAATAAGAAACTAGCTAAATACTAAAACCAAACGGATGGAAATAGTTTCGAAACGCTTTATTAACCTTGATTTGAACACCTGTTTAGCTGTTGAATGACAGGCGAGCTTGGAGGTGGTCGTTTTTATTTGTTTAGAGTCTAGATAAGTGTAATATTGACAAAAACAATTACAATACAGGGAAATTATCGTCATTAAACAGAAATAATTAATGCGTTTCAAGCCGAGGGAAGAGCTAGTTCAAACTGATGACAGCTTAATGGTTTTTTCCTTCCTATGATTTTTGCATTCGTTTTCCAGAATTAAATCCAATTTGTGTTTGTGTGCGGTGAATCGAAAAATACTCAAGCCATGATAAGAGGATTATAGAATTGACTCGTACTTCGAACAAATAGCTACGCCGAGTTTCAAGACATAACAAGAAGAAGTCTTTGTGCTTGTATTTACTAGACAGAGCGCTTTGCATTTCCTTTCACTGACATGCTTGGCTTTGTTTCGCAACTGGGTAGTGAAAAAAGACAATTGAAAGGAAACTGGCTCAGGAAGGAAGACATTTGACGAGTCTTTTTTTTATGAAATACTAGAGTGTCTCAGTTTTACTCACGAAACTAAAAGAACAATTGTTGTTTTCAAAATTAAAAAAATATTCATAAAAAAGGATTGAATCAGCTATTTCGCACATGTGCCGGGGCTGAGTCATGGCAGCATATGAGCAAATTAGTTTCCATTCTTGAAGACTTTTCTTTACATTCCTTTCGTTCTTCTATTCTGAGATTTATGGCTGACTCGCGAAAATGATCTTTTATCACTTCTAAAATACTCGTGTTTTGATAGAAATATAAACTGGGAATCATAAGTGTACTTCGCAAATGTCCCTTGCCTACCATGTCTACATAGCGAGAGTTCGAACAGAAACAGAAAGTCATAGCTGCAGGCGAAGTTTTATTTTTACCAGCTTTTCTGCTGTCAATTGATATTAAATATGAAGCACGAAGCACCCGTCGTGAGCTGTATTTCTTGATACGCTCGCATTTGACAGACCATGGTGTTTTTGATCGTATTTCTTATTAAGAAACCGCAGGATGCCAATTAAACAGAATATGCACCACAAGGACCAGGCTGACAGATTAGATTGTTTTAATCAATTTTTACAATTAGCACAATTTTTCGTCTAATCTGAAGTGGAAACTCGAGTGGTTATTCAAGCTAAAACACTTCGAAATATTAGATTGGGCCTTTCTCTTTTTTTCTAGCTTTTTGTGGTTTTCATTCAAAAATTAACCTCCTCTCCAGCTCTTAACTTTATGATTTAATACGTGTCACTTTTTCAACCCAAGGTTTAATGTAATTGTACACGCGATTTGCTTAGTATGCAAGAACGTTCTAATAATGACCTTGGACACAACAAATAATAACGATCAAAACGATAAATGAAAGCAAAAGTCATAGTTAATGGAGCAAAAGTCTACAATATTCAACACTAGAGCCAGGCTATTATATCAAGCATTGCAGTGTCATTCGTCAGAAACCACTACCAATAGTCAATACGGGTTCTATGATAGCTTTTTAGCCGCGCTGTGCTGCCAACAAAATAAGCTAAATCGAAAGAAAATAGACTTTATGTTTTTATTTTTCCACGGCACTGATAACAAATTAAGGAAATGCTTTATGAGTAATTTTTAGTTAATGACTCGGTCGCCAAAGGCGAAGTGAAAATAATAATAATAATAACACTTTATTTACTGAGGATATAACAGGTAAAGCTCAGCTTTTTTCCAACCTGGTCTTCCTAATAACAATATAATACAAAATATAAAATCTAGAAAAGGCTCTACTAATAAGGCGAAATTCAGGATAAAAAAAAACGTTCAGCATTACTTCCGCTTCGGCAAACTTTTGTAAACCTCATAATGACCGTTATTTGCTTTTCAAAATTTGATTTACAGTTTGGTATTCAGGAATTATCAAGAAACGCCGTTTCACGGTTGTTCAAATTCATGCGTAAGATTTAGATGATCAGAATGCAAAACGCGAAAAATGATGATTTCATAAAGTCAGCTCAGTTTGAACTTTTGAAAATAGAAGCGAACCTAGTAAATTAACTATTTAATCAAGCTCAAGTTTCCGTACTAGTTTGTATCGCTACCACAAATATATTGAAATTATTACAACCATCATGCAAATCGGTCAAGTATTAATAAATTATCGATTAAATCAAAGCTGGCTTGTTGCCAAGGCAACATGTTCTTTGGCCTCAGGTATGCTTGTGTTTGGACTTTATGATGGAGGAAGTCAACGCTGAATTTTCAAGAAATACTGCTAGAAATTAAAGGTTTTTCAAAAAGTAAGAGTAAAATGAGGGATTTACAGGCAAGTATAAGCCAGCTAAGGCGCTTTGAGTTTGAATTACCTGGCAAGTCGGTCAACAAAAGACGCAAAGAAGTTCGAGGTGAGTGAAAAAACGCTCAAAAATTCCTCATTAATTTATTAAATTTGTCTTACTAGTAAATTGCAAACATGATTCTACCCAGGCCTGCTGCTCTTTTCATTTCTATGTTTTATTATATTTATATATTTTCTTTTAAAATAAATAATGTTCTCGATTTTGAGCTTACTTCAAGTGTGTTTTGACTTGGTTTTGCCTGACGAGAAAAAGTGCAATACTATTGAAATTTAACTTTAGTCAATCCATTGGTAATTAACCTTGTATCTTATCTCATTATTATTATTATAATTTTTGAAAACATTGGTACTCAATATGAGTTAAATTTGATATCCATGATTATAATTGTGTTAATTAGAATACTTAAACGGGATAAATAAACTTAGTAATAACTTTCTCTCTCTCAAAAATTATCCCCCATTGAACCATTTTTAAACGATTCTTTTCGTCAACATTCATGAAAAAAAAATTAATAAACCTTTTCATAATTTTTCCACCTTTTTGGAAAAATTGGAAAAGAAGTGATTTAAAAAATGCTTTTTTTTCCCCTACAACTTTCAAAAAGAGGAGTTTGAGTAATAAATGGAAAAAACATGAGAGTTTGTCTGATGGGATGATATTCTAATAGTCAATTTGTAAGATATGCTATTGTATTATAATTTTGCAGTTTCTTCGAGTGCACCAAGAAGCTATTCGAGAACAGCACATCAAACAAAAACAAAATCAGCATGCTCCGCCAAGTCAACGTCTTTGACACATAAATGCATATCAATTGGTGATATCACAAACTCTAAAGACTCCCAGGTAAAATTGCCATAATTTCTAATATTATTCATTGCAACTTAATGTTTGTCTTAATCAACGGCTAAGGCTATATTAGAAGAGAGAAAGGCTATATTAGGAGAGAGAATTGTAGCATTTGTGGGATATATATGGAATGTGGCCTGTCCTATTTAGATGATTGTCCTCTTCATTTGACCTTTACATTAAATGTGATATAACTTTCCATATAGCACATCCTGGTAGGATCAGCATTACGGCGTCCCCATGCAACAGGCTATTCCACTATGGATTATCAGACAATGCCGGACGTAGGAAAATCACCAAGGCAACCGTATAGGCCTCAGACGGCAAGCACAGTGTATGCATATGCCAACAGACCTGTATCTGCAGCAGAAGCAGGTATGAAACATGGAAGACAAACTAAATCAAGTCTACTGCGTAAGAAGTCTTCCTCTTGTGAGTCTTTAAGTTCTGTGAGCTCATCTGAATCATTGTCAAGGACTACTTTGTCAGCAAATACCAAAAAGAGACTATGTAAAATCCGTAAGTAGCATCACATTTTTTTAGATAATTTGATCTTGCAAGATAATATTGAAATTTTAATTTTGTTTATTCACTGATTACAATATATATAGGTGAAGATTATAGGCCATTTAAAGGTGGACATCTATATCAGCCGTAAGTAAACCCTGGATATTAAATTGTCATTCAGTTTTAATTGACATTACCAAAATGAATAAAGATCTTTTAATGCTATCATATCATTTATTTACTCACAGAATCCCACCCAATGGAGAATCCTTGCACAGTTTTTTGATAGGTGCTCGTTATAACAAGTAAGCAAACTTAACTTATTGTGTTTTAATTGGAAAATAAAGGAGTTCAAGTGATGTTAACTATCAAAGTACTTATATATGTTCTTATTTTCAGCACAAGATTTATTGATTCCAAAACCTTATCTAAACTTGGGGTTTACATCCCGAAAGCTGACCTTAAAACATTCTTTGTCAAAGAGAATAATTGGATGAAACAGTCTTATGGTGAGTCATGCTTTAAGGATGCATCAAATTCAAGAAAATATCCACACCTCCCCCACAAAGGTGGATTGTTTTTTAAAGTCTATAATATCATTATGCCTTGTGTGGGAACTGTTAACTTAAGATATTTTCTGGAATGATGTAATTGACAAAATAATATGCTATAAGTCTTTGGGTGTTATCACATCTTAGCTATCAGGTGTTTAAGATCAGGACTGGTGATTGGTCAAACAGAGTGTGACTCTCAAATTATTTCCATTTGGGAAAAAAACAGTTGTTGTTATGGGTTTTTGAGGAATGGAGAGAGTGTTTCACCATAAAAAACACACTGTAACAACACTAAACTCCAATTACTAATAAAATGATCTTTAAATTTCTTTAAGATAATGCTGATGATATATATGATGATAATGAATTAAACATGGTTGCTGTCATAGACGAGGGATCAGGCGATCTACAATCCCATCCCAATAACGAAGCAATAGAAAATCCAGTTGACACAGAAAACAAAGCTGTGAATACTGATCCTCATTATTTAAGTATTGACAGATGGCATTCAGCGGAATGGTACACAGACAGAAAACCAACCTCCCAAAAAGCCCCCCGGGCCCATACAGCCCCAAGCAGGTTTAAGCCAATCAATACATTTTATTATGATTACAATTCAGGCAAAAAGTACAAATGTAGAACATAGCATGTTTTCTATTTATATATTGTGTGTTGAATTTGGAACGTAATAACTTCTTAGGACACTTTGAATTGAAGTTAACATGTAGATATACCTAATATTGTTATACAGCCTGAAATATTTCTAGAAAAATCAACACTCATACTCCTTCACATGGAAGGGATATGGATTTCAAAGAGGTAAAAAGAAGGGTTTTAGGGGTGGGGGGTGGGGAGGCTAGTACTTGGTAAAACTATAGGGTGGTTAGGGCTGGGTCTTTGCCTTACCCTATCTGTGTATAGTAGGGAGTTATATAATATATTTTTTTATTTTCTTAAACAAACAAAATTAATGTTCATTAATAAATTATTGTAAGAGCAGTGTGCTTGTGTTTTATCCTTGATTATTTTGATATTAAAAAAAAAACATTTCAAGTTGTTTGAAGTTCCTTTTATTCAAATTATAATAGCACAGCTAGAAGGCACAAACGCTTGACAACTAGTATGTATAGAGCTATTGTAACGAAGAAACAATTCTCTAGGGAATGAAATGTGGTCTGAAATGGGAAAACATTACCCCCAAGGTAAAGTCTTGGGTCAAAAGATGTCTTGGATAAACAATATCTGACATGAAAATGAAACAACAGCAGTAGCTGATAAACCTTACATTATTACAAAAATATCAAAACAGTTGCCTATGAAAATGAAATATGTTTTCATTTTTGGACAGGCCTAAATGCAACAAAGGATGTTCAGAGTCTTGATAAAAATAATGTCATTCCCTTGAGTATTATGTAGTGTTATTTACAAGATAACAAAATGCATTTAGTATTAATAATGTTATGGATGAGTTTCAGCACAGATAATTATACTCTGACTTGTTGCCTGAAAAAAGGGATTTCTTTTCATCCGTCAAAGAAAATTATTTTTTAAATATAAAGGATAGAAAATTACAAGTACAAATTTGATAAAAACAGGAGTTTTCCAATTGTTGATTCAATTATCGATTCTTAAATTATAATGAGAATCATATACTTTTATTTATGCCCCACATAAATAACTTGAATATATATGTAATAAAGAAATTGATGGATAGTAGATATAGCCACATTGCAATCGTATTAATATATGCTATGTCATTTTGTATACATTCATACTCTTTCTTCCCTAGAGTTTTCCTCTAAATAATACCACTGCCCCATATAAATGTATATAATAATGTGTGTTTTGATATAGGAAATTGACCTATTCCATAAGGTATGTCAATAAGAATGATATTGTGTAGTGCCAGAATATATCCATACCCACCCATGGAGGAAACTGAAAATTCTGGAGGGGAGGGGGATCAAAGAAAGAACAAAAATACAGAGTTTGTATGGAAAAAAATTGGAAGTTTCTGAGGGTAGGGGGTCCTTTTACAAATTCCCTCCAGGGTGGGGGTATGGATATTTTCTGGAAGTACACATTATTAATAATAATTAGAAATCCATCTTATTGGCTTGGTTGTGTATCTGTTGATGTCGATCTATTCTCAGGAGGTCCTAGGTACTTTGGAGTCTTTTTAACAAACCCTTGTTCAATCATAGAATATGCCATATCAATAAGGGTTTTTTCTACATCTATGGGATCAAATCCAAGGTCTTCTTTGATCTGAAAAATTATAATATTGTTACAGCCCCTACTATCAATCAAGGAATCAAGGGCCGGTTGTATCAGTAGTACACTCTCACCTCTTATCTTAGTTTGGAGTCTTTGGTTCAATTCCTGGACTTATGTTTAAAAAATCATAATTATGTTGTACTACCACTACATTCTATATGAATTATAAAAAAAAAACACTCATCTTACATGTTGATTTTTACATAAGGAGGAAACCAGAAATTCTGGAGAAAACCCTCATGGAATGGGATAGAAAAACACATCAAACAAACTCAACTTACATATGATCTAGTCTGAGGTGGGGCTCAAACTTAACCCAGACCACACAATGAAACAAGAGCAAACCATTTAAAATTTACCTTTTTGTTGCTCAAGGACATTTCTTTACCAAGAGCTGGTAAAATCATTCTAATGCCACTATCAAACAATGAATAGACATACATCCCAAAAGATGGACAAACTGCTGTTGGAACTCTATATCCTGGTTAAAAAATAACATGCATCTTGAGAAATCCTGTCCATAATACAGGCTGCACTAGTTGCTGTGGCTTATATTAAGCTATTGTGAGTAATAATTATTACTAGAGATCAATTATTAGCTGATGAAACAAAGTGACTTGGAAAAACTAATGTGCTCATGGTTGGCAGATTTTAACATCTCAAATTGTTAAATTAGCATTGTGATTGTTATCTGCATACCATTATCATATATTTTTCTTCCCATCCAGAACCTGGTAATATTCCATTTGTATAATACTAGCTGTGGTTAATATTATCATTGAAAAAAAGTTTTTTTCTATTGAGCCATTTTAAAGATTTAAGTCCTGTTGAGATATGATCATGTTCACTTACCTTGTGGTCTGAACTCATCATTCAAAATTTTGGCAGTATCCTTCAACCAGATGCCCTTATTAACAGCAATATACCTGTTACCTTTAATAATGGGAAATCCAAGAATGTGAAAATAGGAAATGGAATACAAGTAATAGAAAGGTGGGATGCAACTGAATGAATGGGATATCAGTGAATGGGTAGTTTGCACTGTGACAAATCAATGAATGAAAAATGATATCCTGAATGAAACTATTTACAAAATAAAAGATCATGAAATGTTGGGTTACACTATCTTATGATGAACCAAATGAATGGGAAGTGGATTTATGGGATGAAACTAAATAAAATGAATATTGTTTTTACTACCTGGTCCTTTTACTGAAGTCAAAGCAGTAATGTGGGCCTTGGCAAGATCTCTAACGTCAACAACACCAAAATGAAGTCTTGGCAACATTGGTATCTGTCTCTCCAATAGTCTTGTGGGAATCTAATAAAGCCATGCATACTGTCAGGTTAAGACTCCCTCTCCTTTCTTGGACTGATAGTGGGGCAAGGCATAGTAAGGGGATAACTTATGTGCAACTCAAAGTGATTATTACTTACCTCCATACTTGTACAGTTGGAACCATGAAGAACTGGCCCATACACCAGACCAGGATTTATTACCACTAGTTCAAATTTCTTATCAGCTAAAAAAAAAAAAAAAGAAAATACATAATGGTTAATTTAAAAATAATTTGATTAAGGGTACAAACCTTTAAAAATAAGTAAAAGCAAAATTGAAGGATTAGAAGTTTTCCCTAGTAACAAACCTGGAAGATTTTTGACAAAATCCCATGCTGCTTTCTCAGCCATAAGTTTGCTCTTTTCGTAAGGGCCACATTGGTTTTCTACTGACCAGTCTTCCTCAGTCAGTTCTCTTTTACTATCCAGGTTACCAGCTGGTATATGTAGAATGATATTGATATATCAACAAACATAACATGTTAGATCATTTGTAAACTTCTAATTTATATACATCTACAGTATATATTAACATAAGTATAATAGACCATTTTAGCTTGGTATGCAAATTGCCCATTTCAGATCGCATGACATTCCCTTGAGAATTGTTCTTTTAGCATGACGAACATGTTAAAATATTTATACATGAAAGAATCAACTCCCAAGAGTGGCACCACATGATCTGAAATGTACACAACTTACGAACAACGAAACTAAAAAGGTCTATTTGGAATCAAGGGTGGTGCAGTAGTGCATACACATTTCACCTCAGCTTTGATTCCTGGTCTATGCATGAGATAATAGTAGAGTTTTTGGTCTTTTCCTTGATTTAAGGGTTTTTCCTGGGATATGCTTCTGGGCAAATAAATTGGAACACTATAAGCACACATTGTTGCTAGACTTAAGTATACAACTATACAATACAACTTGAATACTCACAAGTTATAGCAACTATGGAACTTGTGAGAACAACTCTTTTGATATTTGCCTTGGAACAAGCTTGTAAGACATTAATGGTTCCCTCCACAGCTGGCTCAATTAATTCACTCTCGTCACGAGGATTGGAAGCCGGAAAAGGAGATGCCATATGAATAACATATTTACAGTCAACCATAGCCCTTAGATATTAAATAATAATAATAACCAATAATGATGACTATCATTATGAAATAAAATATGATCATATAGTGATGATGAAATGTTGTACTGATGACAATGATCAGGACCATAACCAGAGGTTTTGTTAGGTGGGTGCACGAGAAATCAAATTGGAAATATGCCTGAACTACTAACACCAATAATATTGCTTTTAAAAATGCTATAAAACTCCAAGGATTTGCAGAAGCAAAAAAAAAGTCCAATAATGAATGAGTGAGAGGACCTTCAGCTTGTATGGGGAGGAGGGGTGTAAAAGTACCCTACACACCGGGGGTTTGTGGTGTTTAAGACCCCCAATGTCCCCCTCCTAAGGGTCTTATAAAACTATACCCTCGCAAAAAATCAACTGTTTTTAAAAAATTATTTGGCTGCAAGCAATAATATACCGATTTTTTGTAGTAGTTTTACACGCAATGAATATTTTATCAATAATTAAGTTGGCTTCAAAAATAAATAAATTTAAAAAAGGTCAAAAATAATTTCGATTACACATGAATTAAGCTGAATGTCAGCTGAGTGCAATATATCTCTGACCAGTCAGTGATTGCAAAATATAAATTTCAAAAAAACAATAGAAATTGAAAGAGAAACGTGGAAAGATTGATTTAAAAAAAGAGACATGTAATTTTGGGTTTGATCAATATCTAGATGTACGAGTTTGCCCTTCCCTCGATCGCAAGACATAAATTTTTAACAGGATAACAATGTACGCCTTTAGTAAGAACATTGTTTCCGAAATTCCCTGCGATGTGAAAAAAATAATAGCTTATAGCGACATGTTCAAAGCATTAAAAGAGAGTTGTAGAACAAGCACAATTTACATGGTAAGATACCCAGCAAATATAATAAAGTCCCCAAAGCAAAACAAAACATGCGCACCTTTCCCAGCAGTGTTCATCCAGTAGTTCAGCCTCGGCTAGTTCCAGTGGATATTTTGAACCTGGACACAGATTTTTCAGAGGCTTAACCTTCTTTTCGTTGTTCAGATTTCTAACAGTGCCCCGAACAATAAACGAGCCACTTTCGAGTAATTGTTTGACGACATGACAAGCAATATAACCACTTGCCCCTGTGACAAGAACCCTTTCTACTTTCACGTCTTCTGCAGAACTATTTTCAACGACCCTATCAGACATTTCTGCTGAGAATTTCAGCGTCAGTCTCTACTTCTAGCTTTATACGAAGGCCAAATTACTTTAAACGTCGATGATCGGAAGATTTTCAGGTCGTCCAATGGTTTTTTGTGCATAAAAACAATAAATTTAGGTGAACGTAAATCCTTGCTTTTCACTCATTAATTTGCACGCAAGCAGGTGCAGATCTTCAATCCCAATGCCCTAAAATTTCCCGCGTATATATTGCGTACTATAATGTCCTACAAATGACGTCAAGGACTCTTCCAAACCTCAGTGTCTTCCTCGCTGAAACTCAATCAGCGTTTTCTATCAATGTTTTTCTTTTCGTTTCTACTTTAACCAAGGTTCCGGTACATGACATCTGCTTCATCATGCCCATTTGGTCACATGACTTGTGGGATGTGGGCTTCCTGTGGTTTTATCGGGTATCTGCCGCACCTCCCTGTGCCACCTAAAACCTACTAGACTAACATTAGACAAAGCTTTCGAAACAGTTACATAGGTTATAAATACTAAATTGTGAGGACACAATTAAATAATAAACCTTAAGTTGCGCAACTAAGCTATCTCAAACATGAGAATAAAAATAAATAAATAAAAAAAAGAGGTAGAAAATAGGAGGTAAAAAGAAGAAAGCGCAAATTATCGTGTTCTGATTCTGAATTTTTCTTGCTCCAGAATTGCTTACTTTGATCAGCCAGTGTTTTGATGAAGCGCTACTTATAAATTGTTATCTAAAACGAAGAAAACTAAAAGACATTTTTTCATTCGCGTTTTTCAGCTCTGATGTTCTTGAAATGTTAAAAAACCATTCAACACATGCATAAGAATCTGGGCTACCTGTGGTGCGCACAGTGAATGTGACATGGAGAAAAAATGGTCTAGTTAAATGCAAATTTAATAATTCGAAAAGCCTTGGCCCTTAAGTTATAAATCCCTATAAAATATTTTAAAAACGACCAAATTTATAATGGTGTGTAAGAAAATTGACCACAGATTGAAGCACTAATTTTGGTGAAAACTTTTCTAAACGTTATGATTTGACTAAAGGAATTAAGAAACTAAATTAAGGAGTATCTAAAGTTATTTTTATTTTTTTGCCATTTAGTTGCGCTTATTTCGTTAACGTACCTAGTACCTGCTGGAATCATGCGAGAATGAATGAACCAATCAGGGCGCACAATTTTAGCGGGTCCAAGATGGAGGATGTCTTACATCACCGACAATAACAACTCCTGATGAACTCACGAAAAAAAATTGATGCAGACGGATTGTTGCTTGATATTGAGAGAATACGATAAGGTATCATTATTGCAAAGCATGGCTGGTTTTTAGGAGATTTTTTATAGATGCAAAATGGATTCGTGCCAACCGCAGTTCCCGTTGTCAGATTTGAAGGACGTCATTGAGGATTCCCGAGATATTGATATAAAATCCCACGCATATTCCGAAACAATGAATGAAGAAAAGCCCATGAGAAGGAAGCCACTACACTCAATATCTTCCCCTGAGCCAATGTTTGGTTTTTTCTTGTACTGTCTTGACTGCTTAGTTTCGTTAGTTCTTGCAATTTTAGTCATTCCTATTGTCCTTCTGGTATTATATGTACTCAAGTTTGGAAGATGGGTTCTTTTGACTTACATACGGTACAAATACAATTGTATTCCTTTAGAAGACGACGATGCCGTGTGGCAGCAGGATAGCGCTACGAATCGCCACATCATCCACGCACTCATGATCCTAGAAGGCCAACCAGATGTTGAGAAATTAAAGAAACTTGTCTGTGAACGTCTGGTCTTTAAAGTGGACGATAATGGTGAACGAGTTTGTTCTAGGTTGACTCAGGCGGTGAAGGAATGTTGTGGCCAGTTTGTGTGGCAGGAAGAAGAGAATTTCGACATTAATGACCATTTTGCTGTATGGGAAGGGGACTTGCCCAAGAACAAGGATGAACTAGAAGATGTGATAGCGGAATTAGGACCATTACCCTTCAGGAGGAATCTCAGTCCATGGAAGTTTCACATCATCCCAACTAAATATGAGAAACCCTCTTATTGCTTTCTGTTGCGCATTCATCACAGTATTGGTGACGGTGTAGGCTTGACTCGTGTCTTTGTGAAATATATGTATGATAGCCCACCAGTCGGAAGAGAGCCACGCAAGTTTTCAACTAAGCAACGCATGTACATGTGGTGTAAAGCAATGCTCATGGGTCCATCTTTAGTAGTTAAGAAATTTTTCACCAGTGCTGATGTCTCAGCTGTGCATGGTCAAGAGCTTTCTGGCCTAAAAACTGCATCCTGGTCACAGGACGTCAGTCTGGCATTGGTCAAGGAGGTCAAAAATGCAACTGGTACAACAGTAAATGATGTCATGGTTTCATGTATAGCAGGTGCACTTCATGATTATCTTGAAACAAGAGGTTCCACTGTAGAGGATATGTGTGCATCTGTCCCTGTAGATATACGTGCTACCGAGCAGTCACTCAAAGCAGGAAATAAATTTGCACTTGTATTCATGAAACTACCCATCAAGGTAAATGGATGTCTAGAAAGACTCTATGAGGCAAAGAAACGAATGGATGTTATCAAGACATCAGCAGAGCCTCTCATCACTTCTACAACTGTTACAATGTTAATGGCACTTCCTCAGTGGTTCTCATGTCCTCTGATTGATTTCTTTTCTTGCAAGATGTCTTGCGTGTTGTCAAATATTCCAGGACCACTTGAGCTATTGAGCATCGGAGGACAGCAAGTCTACGAAGGGCTGTTTTTTCCACCCATGAGAGCTAACATTGGTATAGGTCTTTCAATATTTAGCTATGGTGGGAAGATAAGGATTGGTGTGCTTTCTGATAAGAATATCATTTCAAATCCCAGAGAAATCACAGCAGGCTTCAACAAGCATTTTAATCATCTTGTCAGTACTCTTCAAATTGATGACCAAAAGAAACATGAATAAATGAAATATGTTGTTTTTTTCGGAAATAGGACTAAAAATTATGAAAACGATTTGCAACTCAATGCAATGAGAAAGACATCACGAGAAACACAAACTATGAATGAACAAATTTGAAGCATTCAAATATTTAACAAATTATAATGCTATTTCAATACAACTTTTTTCTCTTTCTATTACTATGGAATGATTTGCTGCAGTTTTTGAAACAAAAAATAAATTATGGTCAGAAAACAAAAAAAATATATATATGAAAAAATATTAGTATTTTGAAAAATTACCTTAAAAATATTATCATCGACACAATATCGATATAAATAAATTTAAATTTCATTTATGAATTAACAATAAACATGATTCCCACAAAAAAGAAAGATAAAGGTTTACTTATTTTTTATTCATAAATATCACAAGCAAACCCAATCACAGGTTATTATTGAAAAGAATGTGGGGAATTTTGAGAAAGTAAAAAAGTCTTTTATATGTGAATAGTGTGTCTGGAAGACAACCTCAATTCAATAAGATATATTATAATGAGTTTCAATATTAATATCATTAAGATGATCATTTCTACAGACCGCCTGAATTCTAAGTAGCTTGTGTAGGAATATCTATATTTTACCAATATTATGCAGAGTAGCTGGCTGGAATTGTAATTCGATTGGGTAACCTGTGTTACAGATGTTTGCTATCTCCTCTCTTCCTGGGAGCCAATGTGAAAATCCCACCCTATTTAGGGAGAAATCAGGGAAATCACTCCTAAGGAAGAGAGGAAGGAAGCATGTGCATGAAATAATTACTTATTATGTGTGACATTCTTAAATTACTTTTTTGAGGAAATTATTTATATTTGATTTTGAAATTATTTTAGATTAAATAACTTTATTTATTTTTTCATATTTATAGAAAATATCAAATATTTCGTATGTGTATTTGTCTTTTTCTGGAATAGAACCCCTATTGTCGTTATAGTATTATTCCTTGTAGTAACTAAGTTATTGAATTTTGTAAACCAAGCCTTTCTAACAAAAATAAAGATTGTAAAATTTTATAATGCATTTCCAATATGATTATGGAAGAATTGCACGACCAATGTTCTTGTATTGTTCATATGCCATAAAGAACTGAAGTCAGTCAAGGAGTACTAACGACGACTAGTAAAACAACCTCAATGTTATATTACAACCATAACTCTCCATACAGGGCTTTTCCATGAGGTTCCCTCCAAACGCTCTACCATTAAACTCTCAACTCACATGTTGATTTTTACGGAGGGAGGAAACCGGAGAACCCAAAGAAAACCCTCATGGCAAGGGAGAGAAAAAATCATCAAACAAACTCAATTCACATATGATCTGGGTCTGAGCTGGGGCTCAAATAATAAATAGTTTTTGTTGTTTGTTGTGTTAAAGAGTTGGCAAAGAAGATTTTCTTATTAGAGTGATTTCACTTGGCCTAAATATCTTTAGTAGTCCTACCAAAATCAAGGGAATTGAAGTATTGTTATGGTGGGAGGGATCTGAATTTAATCCATCTGAAGTATGGATATTTTCTAAAGCTACACAAAATTATGCAAAATGTAACCAGATGCAAAACTATAATGAAAAAAATGAACTTTGGTATTACTGAAAAGGATACAAATATATTCCATGGACAAAGTCTAGCAAAGTTGGGAATGAAACCACGGTATAGAGCAAAGAATCCTTCTGTTCTCATTGTCTGAAAAAAATATCACGAAGTTAGAGACATACATCTTTTAACACTGAACACAGATAGACACTTAATATTTCTTCAATCATTGGTAACCTTCTGGCCCGTTTTATTGTGTCTTACCATTGTTATACAGTGAGCTGCACTTCTGTACAATATTTGCGAATCATTAGATTTCACTTTTAGGTTCCTCTGGTTCATCATTCTTGTCTGTTTTAAAATCGATTCAAAATTTACCATGAGTAATTAAGGTAATGGAGAATCAAAAAGAGATGAGTTGGAAGAGATAAAGTGGAGGTGGGTGAACTTCAAGGAAGTGTAATGAACTCCTTTACCTTCGGCGTAATGTTTTCTCATTTCAGACCACATGTCATGTTTGTTTGTTTTTGTTTTTTCCATCTAACACCCAGCAACATTCTCTAGAGTATCACTGTGCTTTTTCGTATAATGGTTGTACATGAGAAGAAACATAAATGTCCATACAAATCAAACAAAGAATCGCTTTCCGAAGAGAATGACACATGGTCTGAAATGGGAAAACACTACACCCAAGGTAAAGAGGTCTATTCAAGAAAGTAGAAACAAAGAAAAGAACTGGGTTCGCATGTGGAGTTATTATAATATGATTCCATCCTATTTTTAAAAAATGCTACAAATCATAAAAATATATTTTGTTTTACCTTGGCAACATCAATTGGATTTGAAGCTATAGCTCCAGCCAGACCAGCAATGGCACTAGCTCTATAAGACATACAATTTGAGATAAACAATATAAATGTTATTCTATTGCTACGCCACAGCACTATAAATAAATAAAGGGATCACAGACTGTCTGAGTTGCAATAGCTTTTACGAGTTCACCTACACAAAGTGTGTTCCTGGATGATCTCCCATCAGTTTTTTATCCAAGATAAACCTTTTGGCTGAGTCGTAAACAGGTAGTTCTACTCCGGCAATGACTGCTGCTCGTTGAGAAGTGGGACCAACACCCTAAAAAACATGATCCAAACTCACAAATAAAGCATCAATATATAACAAAATATCATCAAAAGATCACAAAGTGCTTACCCTATATAAACCTCTTAATCCTTCGTCTGAAAACATTTTACGGAATGATTTTGTCATGTTCAATTGAACTCCACTTTTGTATTCTGCTTGCATCCGAATCTAAGAAAATAGTACTTATTAATTATTAATGATCAAATTTTAAAAAATAGATCTTTTTTGTTAACTTGTTTAGCTAGTACCTTCAGAACATCTGTAGGGTTGCATATTGCTGATGATATAGCACCAGCAATAATGCCAGCTGCAATGTTATAATATAGTGTCTCATCTGGAAATAAACATTATTAATCAATGGTGAGTAAATTACTCATGTCATACACATTAACATACTAAACAAGATGTAGAATAATGAATGCAACAAATAGAGTGTGTGCAACCATGTGACTCTAAATCCCTTGAGATATGAATAACAATGGAACAGCTGCCATTTTGGTTGCTCTAACGAGAGAAGCTAAGGAGGAATGCTTTGTTATCATCAACCAAGATGGTGGCAATGACGTAACATGCACCTGCTCTATAGATCTAAGCTTTCATTTAGTGTTTTCCAATTTCAGGCCATGTGTCATTTTCTTAAGAATATTCTTTGTTTGAGCTGTATCCTTGGTCTTTTCATGCACAACTCAAAAAAAATGATACTCAAGGGAATAATATTACATCTGGTCTGAAATGGGAAAACATTATGCCCAAGCTGATGAATGGGTCTGTTTTCCAACCAATGACGAAAACTATACCCTTTAATGAAGTAGCATGCATGTTTTATCTCATGTATATACCTGATTATACCTTTTGAGTCTTTGACCAATTTTCTTTTAACAGAATGATATATTCCAAGTTTGAGGGATCCATATGTGGCCTGACGAAGTAGTGCTGGGGCAACACTGTCGTATTGGGAGAAAAGAGAAAAATGATTAGACAAAACAATAGGCTGCAATTCTCAGGAGATTGGAATTCTTTTGTTTTGTCCCCCAGATCAAGCTGATTTAATGTCACATGCATCATATATAATAATTTCTAATGGACCTTACTCACACAACAGCCATGTTAACTGGAACAATAATTTTTTGCCCATATAGCCTCACATTCAAGTACTTCAGGATTTAAGTTAAGGTTACACAGGTTTAAACAAAAGCTTTTATTCTCATGGGGATAAATGTGCCATGTGATCAACATCCATTCTCTCCCATTTGGAGTAGCACATCCCTTTTCTGTAGACATACCCCGGGGGGTACTACCACCCCAGCTTGGGTAGGAGTGTGCCGCCAGGACCTCAAAACCCTGACCCTATCCCAGACCTAAAATTTTGATTTTACATACCCTACCCCAGACTAAAACTAAGAATTGTACACCCTATCCCAGACTAAAAGAAGGAAAATATGGTTTTACAATCGATTGCAATCAATGTTTACTAACATTTTTATTGTTTTTGTGTCGGCAGAAAGCGTAGCTTATTCACCAGACAAAAACGACCAAATCGTTAACCCTATCCCAGACTAAAATGATACCCTATCCCAGACAAAATGTCAAAAAATGATACCCTACCCCAGACCCAAAAGCCGAAAAACCTTACCCTATAGGGTGGCACATACCCGTATAGCAAATATAGGGGAGTACCCCACCGGGAGACATACCCATTAAAGAGAGCTCGAAAGCCTTCATCTTTAGTGATTCTTAAGAAAGCATGTAGCATCCCACGATATCGAATGCTCGTTTGCTTAGTATCAATGACTTGTCCTTGTAACTGAAGTCTAGTCTTGGTTGTGTCAATGGGAAATGTACCTGGAATATATTAATAAATAATTATTTATAAAAAAAATAAATATTTAATTAATTGAAAATATCATTTGATGGGGGAGGAGCAGTATTATTGTTTACTAACAAGGGAGAGGAGGTTTAATATAATAATAGCAAATGACCACAAGTTAAAAGATTAGTCATAATTTAAAAAGATCCAATATGTATATTGCTATTTTGAAGGGCTTGGCTTGAAATTCAATCAAAACTACGTGTATGAGATCAACGAATGAAAACAGTCTTCCACGTCACAGCTTTCAAATTCAACATCACGCTTTCAGCAACATACCTAACTCCGCAGTCATTGAGGCAAGGCCTCCATAGATAAAAGGCTTGTAATCCATACTTTTGATACCCAAAAAAAACTTAAAATAATTGTAATAAGATGAAGGAAAACAGATTGCCTAAAAGGTTGCTCTCGAGCGAGGAAAAGGAACAATGCGCCCTTGTTATTGCTGGCCAGTGGTCTTCTTTAAAACTGCACGTGCAAACGAGACTCAGATCCATGACAACGGGTCGTGTAGATATTTGATCCATTCTGATTGGTCAAATCGAATTTTATTATCCAATCAGTGTGTAGGGATCTCAACCCCGGTAAAATCGTATCTGATCAACAAGAGACACACGGATCAAACACAGCAAGACGAACCACTGACGACGTGTAGTTTATTTGATTTGCAGAAAGCTTCAAATTTTTAGAAAAATATTTTTAGTTATAATTTCATAGTTTAGCCATTCTTCAACATGGTTAAAGTAAGAAATGCCAACCTTGGGATTTCGTTACCACAGCAAAAGAAAAAGGTATTTTTGGTGCTATTCTCTTTCATTGTAGACCAAATAGCTTCAACATTTCTGGTATTTTAATTACTTTCTTGTTCGTATTTTAGGGTAGAAAAAGCACAGGTTTGAGTGAAAATCTTGGCGTCAAAGGCAAGGGTTTGAAAACCTCGGAACAAGTCAAAAGAACTGCGGCTGAACTCTCCCCTCATGGCGGTCCTTCGAGAAAACGATCGGCCTTTGGCGACATTACCAACGTGAGATATTCCATGCTTCTTTTGTCATTCATAAAATGATATTTTTACCTTAAGAAATTGTATTCTTTATTTTCAGGCTGTCAGACTCAATCAAACTGGCAAAAGCAAAAAGGCAAAGCCTACTCAAAGTGCATCTGCCGCGGACATTTTGAAGACGAACACCGTAGAAGACGCTTTGTCTAGTCTTGTTCAAGAAAGCAAGGATTCCAGAAGCATTGATCAGGCACTGCCTGATTTAGAACTTCTATCGTCATCCAGTGAAATATCAAGCTCTCAAGAGTCTAGTGAGTCTGAGTCAAGGTGAGAAAAAATTAGATTTTATGATGAGAATGGAGGGAAAATAGGAATAATAAATTAAGAATTAGGGTCATCATTACCTACCCTGCTGGCAGAGCTCCTTTTCTTTTAATTTCTCCCGAGCGAGTTAAAAGGAGACTCTACCAGTCCATTACCATGCCCACCTTAAAACCCTGTTACAGTCGGGTCATTGTGTTTCAATCCTTTGCATTCATGTGCACGGTGCTTAAAAAAATGAATACCAAGGTGGTGGTAACTGTAATTGGTTAAAACTCCATTGAAGGGTGGGTCCTTGTTGGTTGCCTTATTGATTCAGCCTGGTTTTCACTTGTGATGCAGTGAGAAGCAGTTTATGCATAATAAAACCTTCTAATTTTGCTTCTGCCTCACTTCAGACTGAAATTCACGGTTATTAGTTTTCTGGTTTTCACTGATCTTTATAATCTGGCCGTTTCACTCTGATTTCATCGCAAGTGAAACCCAGGCTTTATGGAGCTTTCTTTAGGGTCTAAGAATGGATGCATGGAGACTTTCCCATTGCCTTGCCCATTTAATAATTAATAAAAAATAATAAAAAAATCATTTTAACTTCATACAGTCAAGAACAGGAACCAAAAGACTCAGACACAGAAACTTTGACATGCAAGGAAACTTTATTGGAATCTGAAGAGGAAGGAAAAAGGTATCTAATTAGTAATATCGTAATGTTTGCGTTACTTTGATAATAGGTTTCATGTTGTGTTGCATGTAGTCTGCCAAATGCCTTGAAGCATCGTAAATAAAATTTTATTTATTTTTAGTTATTCAGACATAAAAAGTTCTCCATCTTCAGGAGCTAAGAGAATCGTTCAAAAAAGTGAAATAGAAGATATTGATGCTGATACATCGGATCAATTTATGGTTGCCGAATATGCATTTGAGGTTTTTCAAAACATGAAAGGAAGAGAGGTAATACTTTGACATATCTGTGCCCTGTAAGGAAAGTGTCGATTTGTGAAGCATTTTCATGGGTGTAAATGATTTATTCACTAAAACTAATGATAAAATTGCTGTTTTCCAGACATTATTTCCTCTGAAATCTTATATGGAAATGCAAAAACAACTAACCCCAAGTATGAGAGCTATCTTGGTTGATTGGTTGGTGGAAGTACAAGAGAGTTTTGAACTATACCATGAAACTCTTTATGTTGGAGTTAAGATCTTGGACAACTTTCTCATGAGGTGTCCAGTTGAGAGAGAGGACTTACAGTTAGTAGGGGCAGCATCTTTGTTTGTTGCCAGCAAAGTTGAGGTAATGTCTCTCACCATTAGCTTTAAATAGCCATTCTTAAAATTACATTTAATCAATAGTCCCTTCACAGTTCCATGCGCCATCTTGAAAGGTAGCCATGCCTTTACATCGAAGCAAGACAAACGGTGACCTTGCAATGATAGAGACATGTGAATAGTTGTTCAAGTTGTTAAAAAAGGTCTCTATCATCATAAGCTCATCGTTCGTCTTGCTTCGATGCAAAGGCATGGCATGGCGCAGGGAACTGTGAAGGGGTCTATTGCATATTTATTTGATTTTTTTTCTTGAAGGAGAGACATTCCCCTTGCCTTGATGACTTTTTGTACATTTGTGACGATGCATATGACCAACCAAGATTTGTTGCTATGGAGAGGAAAATCTTAACTGCCCTGGACTTTGACATCAATATTCCAATTCCGTACCGGTTCTTACGAAGATATGCAAGGGTAAGAAAAAGTACAAAATTAAAGATTCTTAAATAACAGTTTCTCAATTAATTTTCTTTAATCATTCGACAGGCTGCATCAGCAGATGTTCAAACATTAACTCTTGCTCGGTTCCTTCTGGAATCTTCTCTCCTACACTATCAGTTTCTGGAATATAAACCATCTCTTATTGCATCTGCATGCCTGTATCTGGCCCTTACCATGAAGCAATGTGGAACATGGATTCCAACTCTGGAACATTACACTGGCTACAAGTTAGAGGAACTAAAGGAATGTGTGATACAGTTGAATAGCATGAACTCTGAACCACCTAAGAAAAATCTAATGACAGTCAGAAATAAGTACTCTCACAAGGTATTCCATGAAGTGGCTAACATTCCTCCACTTGATGTCTTAGCTTTAGATTTCAAGTAATTTAATTTTACCCCTGTTAAAAGTGGAAATAGACAAATAACAATAATTTTATTTCAAAACTGTATATGAAAAGCTGTATAATTTTTGTGAAAATGGCTCACAGGATGTGGCTTTACATGTAGTCAATTGCAAACTACAATTTTATTATGATGAATGTATTCTTCATGCTTGTGATTTTTAGTTTCTAGTTAAGTTGTCAGATATTTAAACAAACACCTTTAAAATAGAAATCTGACAGAAGATAAGTGTTTTAAATATTAGTAATTTTCTCTGCTTGGCTTGCCAAACTTTCTATTTTTTATACTGGAAACCTAAGTAGAACTACTACTCCCCATCACCTAGGGAGGGGGTATGTGACATACATGACAAGCAGCTGTAAACGGACAAATATTCCAAAGAATAGAGTTAACCTAGGAAGGAAAAACATTCATCACACCTGTTTTTGTTCCCAAGCAAACGACTCTTCTTTGTCAGCAGTATCATTCAACTTTTTCCAAATTCATCTTTTTTATCTCAACAATCTATTGCCCTATTTTATTTTGACATCACACCCACACAAAAGACTTTTATTGTATATATTTTTTGAACTTAGAAAAGCAATGATAGCCACCAAATACACTGTGATATTAGAAATAGCTCAGTTGGTTAGCATAAAGATTCAGACTAGCAAAAATTATTTAGTTCTTGTAAATAGGAAATAAAAAAACAATAATTGATTTTGTTGATTCTGTCAAATTCACATTCTCACAATCAGTGTTACGACACTCTAAAATTGGTGAGAGGGGGTGGTGAGTAGTATAGGTCGCATGGCACAGGCCGGATTTTTGCGGTGGATTTACTAATTTTGTGGTGGATTCGAGTATATTTGCGGTGGATTTAATTATGTTCTAATACGTCACGCATTACGTGTTTCATATGCGGTGGATTTAATTATTTTTCTTACTTATTACCATGAAAAGACGGGTAGGTATTGTGAAGTTGCCATGACGACCAATTGATGCCATGAGTTTATTGTTTGACAAGTTTGGACAAGTCTTTTGTTTACCAATCCAATTTATACAGCTTGGGGATTTTGAATTTTTAACTCAAAAACTCAAGCAACCAAGCAAGCAAGCAAGACCTAAAAAAATTTACTTTTGAGAAACTTAAATGGCTACGTTATTCCAGTTAAGCTCTCGAGGATATCACGCTACCGCCAATGAATTCAAAGGACTAATGAAAATTTGATGACTATTGTATCCAACACAATGCAATTAAGACTCATAAACGATAAACAATAAGACCTACTAAGTTCTTCCTAATCATGCAAAAATCAGCTGAAAATGATTAGTTCTGTTATCTTGTTCTATATTATATAAACAGCGTTCATTCTATTTCATACTGGACCGTAGTACAATGATTCTAAAATTCCCTGGCATTCAAGCTTATTAATGCTGTCATATCTCTTTTCCTTCAATCATTTTTGTCACGTGATAAATAAGACACGGCATCAAACCAATTTTATGAATGCACAAATCTACAGGAAGCCCATATCCGATTTAGTTATTGAAAAACACAGGAAGCCCATGGACAATTCTTATTCCCCACAGGCAGCCCATCCCATTTAGTTATTGAAAAACAAAGGAAGCCCAATTACAATTCTTATTTCCACAGGCAGCCCATCCGATTTAGTTATTGAAAACACAGGAAGCCCATGACCAATCCTCATTTCCACGGCAAAGACCATTTGAAATACCAAAATTAATAACTGATTTTATAATAATCTTATATCTGCTTATTTTTTCTATGATTGAGGGTCGATGAGAGGTCGATGCAAGGTCGATGAGAGGTCGATGAGAGGTCGATGTAAGATTACCTCCTCTCCTCCTGCCATCTGGCTATCGATAGCTTAGCTATCAGGCTATCGATAGCTTAGCTGTCAGGCTATCAATAGCTTAGCTATCGGGCTATCGATAGCTTAGCTATCAGGCTATCAATAGCTATTACCTCCTCCCCTCCTCCTCCTTCTCTCCTCCTCCTCCTCCTCTCCACCTCCTCCTCTCCTTCTCCTCCTCCCCTTCCTCCTCCTCTCCTTCTCCTCCTCCCCTTCCTCCTCCTCTCCTCCTCCTCCTCTGGATGAAATAATAAACTAGAACTATGAGTGAATGAAATTTTATAGCATGTAGCTGGGTGGCATGTGGCCGGATAGCTAATAGTTCTAGCTTATTATTTCATCCAGAGGAGGAGGAGGAGAGGAGAGGAGGAGGAGGAGAGAAGGAGGGGAGGAGGTAATAGCTATCAATAGCCTGATAGCTAAGCTATCGATAGCCGGATAGCTGAGCTATTAATAGCCTGATAGCTAAGCTATTGATAGCCTGATAGCTAAGCTATTGATAGCCTGCTGATATAGCTAAGCTATTGATAGCCAGCTGATAGCTAAGATATTGATAGCCTAATAGCTGAGCTATTGATACCAAGAAGCTAAGCTATCGATAGCCTGATAGCTAAGCTATCGATAGCCTGATAGCTAAGCTATTGATAGCCTGATGGCAGGAGGAGAGGAGGTAATCTTACATCGACCTCTCATCGACCCTCAATCATAGAAAAAATAAGCAGATATAAGATTATTATAAAATCAGTTATTAATTTTGGTATTTCAAATGGTCTT